ACTTATGATGAGCACCCTTCTCCTTATCCATTTTTTGGGGCTGGGTACATTGCTTTTCATGGGACTAATTGAAGTGCTCCGGCTGTCACAGCTGAAGTGCTCCCTCAGGGGCTCTCTTTTCTTTTTGCTTGTTTCCTCCCCTCCTCCAACACAATTTTTTTTTTTTTTTTTTTATCGTTTTCCATATCCGGTAAACAATCTGTTGGTGGAAATTAGGGTCCAGTGAGTGATGAAGCGACACATCATGACCCTCCTGCCTCCTCTGCCTCTCTCCCTTTCTTTCACTGTCATACTCCATGCATCCCTTTCAGCTCTTTCCACTTTTGTGCCCCCACCCTCTGTTTTGCCTTGTTTGGCACGCAGCCTGTATTAACAGTGGTGGTGATGATGGTGGTGTGTGTGTGTGTGTGTGTGTGTGTGTGTGTGTGTGTGTGTGTGTGTGTGTGTGTGTGTGTAGGGATGCAGGCAGGGGGTCTGAAATGAAGATTGAAGTGGACAAAAAAGCCCTGGTGCAACCTGGAGGTGGAAATTAATAATGATAAAAATAATTACTGCCCCATGCCTCCCTGACCTAGTTTTCATAATGGAGAACGATTGCCCCCAGTCGCACACTATGGATGTGTGTTTAAGTTTTAGTGTGTCAGTGTGTGCGCATGGCCAAGAGAATGGGTGTGGTGTCATCGGGATGGATGTAGGCCAGGACCTACATGGAGAAACTTATCACCAAAACCTGGCACATGAACGCACAAAGGGAGAAAGAAGGTGGTCTCTAAGTACCCACTCCACAGCGGCCAACTTTAATTCATTCACAAATTGAATTCTTACAATTTTATTGAATTTTTTTATGTACTTTGAATGCACCATTCTCTGCGCTGAATTTAAAGGGAATGAGGGGAGCCACTTCCCTTGGATGGCAAAAAAGTTGGCTGCGGTCTCTCCCACCACGGTGCAAACGCCCCCTTCTACCTCATCCCGTGTAGGAAAATACAAAAAGAAAAGAAAAAGTTCACCCATGCGCACAGTTAGACGTCACTTTGCGCTACACTTGAAAATAGGTTCTTGAGAATCCAAGTGATATAATTCCTTTGGGCAGGCCAAAACAGGGTCGCTAAATTTGCCTTTAAATTCTAAACTCCTGATGAGGCAGTTTTATTGTTTCTGGTAAAAAACAGTGTGGTTGTCATCTGACAGGGACGATTTGCAAAAATAATATCAAGAAATAACTACCATGTGTGAAGCCCATTTTTTTTTCTTGGTTGTCTTCTGGTCCGTTTATCCTCAACTTTCTTGTCGGCCTGTCTCGCAAACATTACAAAGCTGCTCTGAATCAATGATTGGCAAAGCCGCATCACATATGAGAAGCTACAATACACATAACCAGTCTGTGTAGTTCCATCACGACCAGAAAGGGCTGCGGCATAAGTTGTGCGGTTCGAATTGTAAGCATTTGTCAAAGGCATCCATTAGTTCTGGGTCCGGAGGAAAAGGCATTGTCATGATCACGTTCTGTTAGTGTCCAGCAGGTGGCAGAGGCATTCCCGTTTTTTTCCCGGTTGTGCACCTGTCTGGCATCACAATTACTGGGATTATTTAAGGACCTCATGGACCCACATAAAGCTGTCACAGAACGTGATCATGACAGGCATCCGGACCATTCAGCAATTAACGTATTTTCAAGATGGACAACACTAAGTTCAAGTCAACTTTATTGTCAAATGTGCTCTATGTGTAACATACAGCACAGATGAAATTTCTTTTCTCTCAGAGCATCATTTTGGCCATTGAGCTTATCAATTGACACCCTTGTAAAACAAAAACTCAAGACTGGGAGGGAGGGTCTCAAGGCTGTTGGTTTGCCATCATTCTGTCCCAGCCCGTTCTGTTCAAATTCCGAGAGTCCATGGTCGCAAATATGTTGTTCTTGGCGACTTTTTACTGCACTATGCAGTTCATATTTACGACTCTATTATTTCGGGGGCATTGGTATCAGAATCTTGACAGAGTCCATTTATTTCTCTCACACCCAGTCTTATATTTATACAGCAAACCAGAGCAGCAGCAGGAAGAATTTTTATCTTTTCTTTTTAAATGTGCTGTTTATCATGGCAAATTCTGAACTTAAAATTCTCTGGAATGAGGCAAGCAATACTGCAGTGGTCTCAACTTAACAATGGACCTCAAACGATCGCTCAAAACAAGCGTATGCATATTTGCACATTCCCAAATTTCAGTCAAACGTATGTTCCCAGTCATTGGCACCTCTGTCTGAATCTTGCTGAGCAGCAAAGTGCAAAACTGTCAATAAATTGAATTTTACATGGTGGTCTCGATCCTTCTAGCGGAGGATGACAACACGACCGAAAGGAATATAGTCGCTGCAAGCACATTAAAAACTTCCAGCCTGCACTCTTGAAGAAGTCCACCGTCAAGTTAATTAAAAGTGCTTAATGATCAAGAGCTTTAGGGCTGGTTGTGACTGAGATAACCCTTCACCTCGCTCCTCAATCTCGGCACACTGGGCCGTCGAGTTGACCTTGTAGGACCTCTGGGATTTCACATCCTTGGAAAAGTTAATGCCTTGCTGGAACATATGCTGTTTGTTACTTTATCATCATAGCAGTCCAGTACCGATGCTCAACATGGGTTTATAACACAGTAAAAAACAAACTCGTGAAATGGTAGCGCACCTGCTCCTTGTCACGCTCTGTCACGCTTCTTTGCATCACTTCATTTAGTCTGCTGATGTCATGCAGTAAGGGCCTGGATTACGTCTGAACTTCGTATACAAATTACATGTGAAATGTGCCACTAATGGCTGAACGGAGTTCACTTGGTCACGAAATGTGACTTCTGCATCCAATCTATCACTGTCGTGAACATGGCTAACACACGCCATTAATGACTAACTAGAGCAGCTTTCAATCATTCAGTGAGCAATCGGAGAACTTAAGTTTATTCACGGGTACCTTAGCTGTGCTTGGAGGACCATGTTCTTGACCCCTCATTCACAGTTTGTATTTTTTGCATAACAGACATTATTTCAATGTTTCCTAATGAGATGTGACCTCCACGTTAGAAGAGAAAGACATAGTGAGTGAGGCTTTTATAAATATTTTTCTTGCCTGCCAATCTCCCAGTGTGTGTACTGGCCTGTGTTGGAGTTGGAGAAGCAGCTCGTCTGGCAGGTGAATTGCTTCACTTGAAGCGTTTAAAAAAAACAAAAAAAAAACCCCCAAAAAACATTTTATGTTGTCAATCGAAAATAAGCAGACATCGGCAAGGTTGTAGTGTGTGGTTTGTTTGAGATTTCAAATGCATTGAGCCTCTGTTTGTGCGGTGGGGGGTTTAACTACGTGAAAGCATCTGGCCTGAATGCGCTACTGCTGAGGGTCAGTCCGTCTGTTTGGACACGACACGCCACAGGCAACCGGAGTGTGTGTCCAGCTTGATGCTTTGTGTGTTTGTGTGCATTTAACCACAACATACAGAGTCAGCAGACGCCGACCTAACCTCATACGTAGTTCACAGGTTATCCAATCTAACATTGGGCACTGCATTTTGCTTGTTAAGAAACGCTGCATTTTGGGGTTCTTGGAAAATGTTAAACTGTATGCATGCCTACCAATTTGACACTTTCATTTTACATGATAGCGTTTCTTTGAGGTATGTTACATAATCGATCCAGTTTGACCACAGCCTAAATGTACATGGAAATGACCTTTAACCACCACCATCGCAGATGACGACATCAACAACACACAACTGTTGAGCTCAGAATCTGTCTGACTTCACCTCGATCAAATCCATCAAAATCGCGTTACACCACTGCCACAAATTAGACCTGCTTTTACCTAGAAGTTGACTTAAATTGTCAGGTGCACGGGGGGGGGGGGGGTAAAAGAAAAGGCCCTTGGTTCTCCAGCATGTCAGATTCCCAAACATGCGAAAATAGACTTGTCCCGGCACGAAAATCAAGATGCGTCAGTTTTCATGCTGAGCACACCATGCGCGTTCTCCAAAAATGGGGCCCTCTCGTCCAAAAACCGCAACCCCAAATTGAGAGAAGCTATGAAGGAAAAGACACTTTTTTTTGTCTCTCAATAACCATTAGAATATTTTCTTTATTTTACTTACAATAAATCTTATCTTTCAATTGATCCAGAATACATAAAATCCAACATTGTAGCCATTCAGTCAAATATTTGACAGCTGACTGATTTTGATGTTTAAGAATTGGCTTTATGGGTGCTTATTGCCGTTACTGTGATGTCTATGCACAGCCTTGAACTGTACAGATCATTGTGTCCTCATTTAGGAACATGCGTGTGAGGATTAAAAAGAGGAAGGGGAGATACGTTGGGTGTCTACACTGTGCATGTGAAATGCTCATCTATCAGATCCCCCGACCCAGTGGGGGTTACAAAGCAGCATAATGGCTGGTGTCTGTGGTGGAGCGATGGCTTCATCTGTAGGGGTTGGTTTAAAAAAAAAAAAAGTTGGAGAATTCCGTGGAAAAGGAGATTCTGATGGAAAACCCATGAAAGACGCAACGGAGGGGGGAAAGGAAAAACAAACAGTACCGTTGCAGAAGAGGGGAGGAGAGATGGAGAGGTTGCAAAAGGGGGAGATTGAACGTGGGGAGCGATTGTGGGAGGAAAAGAGGTGTGATAGAGGGTGGGAGAGGAGCAGACAGTCTGGTGGATGGGCAAAAAGACAAAGGGAAAGGAGACGGACGGGCATGAGAGGGATCTATCAGGGGGCTGGTTAGACTTGAACACACTAAGCTGCATGGAGATCTCAAGTCTTAAAAGAGAGTTCCCGGGGTTCCAGAGCAGTGCTTTAAGTGAGCCTTGAAGACACTGTGGAGAAGGCAGCACCAGGAAGGGTTTAAGGAAAAGGCAGAGTGATAGACAACTGAAGAGAAGGGAGGAGGAGAGGGGAGGCCGTCCGTCTCTTGGAGCAGCACGCGAGGAGCTGGTGTTTGAGCGGGGCGAGCGCAGAGAGGGAGGAGAGAGGGAGCCGCGCCACAGGGAGGGGGTGAGGTATTTAAATGCTGGAGAAGGACAGCGCAGCCGAAGCGCTCAACTCCCTGAGTGAAGGTAGGACAGGGAGAGGAAGCAACGGAAGAACTTGAGCTTCTTCCACACTTTTTCAGACTTTGACTCAACATCGTAGCACACACGCACCCCCCCCGCACGCACTTTTGGACTTTTGACTCATCACTGGACTCCAAAAGCTTCTCCTTGGAATCCAGCTACCTGCATCCTCCTTGCTCCCGTTCATCCAGCGCTCTCCTCAAATCCACACTCTCGCCCTCACGCTTTGAGGGCAGATGGCCGCGGCGTGGGCCTCTCTCGGGGGCGCCTTCGGCTGTGCCCTGCTGGCCCTGGTCCTGGGGAGCAGCGGTGTGGACTTCGGGGTGCCCCCCGCAAGCTTTTACCCCCGGTTCAACCCCTTTTTCTTCCTGTGCACCCATCACGCAGAGCTGGATGGAGTTGGGGTGGCTGAAGGTGGGGGTGAGGTGCTGCTCACCCTCCAGATTATGGGTAACCCCACCGCCTACACCCCAGGACAGGAATACCAAGGTGTGTTCACTTTTGTTTTTTTCTGAAAGGCGGAAAAAAAACCACACTCTTTATTGTTGTAGTTTCTATGTATTTTCTTTTTCTGATTGTGAATTTTACTTTTATTATTTAACCCTTTCATGCAACCTGATAACCTGTCCACTGTAGTAACCGCTGTCCCTGAAAGGGTTAATGTGAGTTCATATTTTCTGTCTTTTTTTTTTTTTTGTAGATAGTTTCAATTGCCCGATGACTGAAAAGTCCACCATTCTAAAACGATCAGTTAAGTTCTCGTCGTAAAATTAATCAACAGTTCATTGGAGGGACGAAAGAGAAACATGAACAAACCTAAATTCAATCTCAATTTACACAGATGTTTCTCGTCAAAAATAGACATTTTAATCCCATAACTTGTACTTTCCTTTCCGTTGTTGCATGTGTGAGAGGCCCGTTTCGTTCAGATGGTTGTTGTTTGGAAGTGTTGTTTATGTAAGCGTTAACAAAAAACAATAGTGATACTGTGTTGGATTTATTCACTGTGTTGAGCAGCTTTGGTGTTTGACTAACCTGTGATCTGGATGCTCCGTGCGTAGGCAGCTTCTCCACAGAATGAGAGCGAGAGAGAGAGAGAGAGAGAGAGAGAGAGAGAGAGAGAGAGAAATAACTGTGAATGGCAATGGACAAAGAGAGAAAGAATCAGTCAAAAATGCTCACGATTTAGGTTCAGTTAAACATGAGAGGCGACCGATTAATTAGGCTTTTCCCACGATGATGCACTGGCACCTGGTTGTGGAAAAGTGATCCCCCCTGTGATCGCCGCAACTGTGTCACCGCTGCTCTGCACTGGTTCTCGTAACTTACTTAACACTGGGGACAGTGACCCTCACGGGTCAGCGCAGTTCTACAGAGGTCACGTTCCCATGCTACTGTCCTCTCCTCAAAAGCCCTGTGTATATAAATATGATTTATATGACTGATTTGATCTCACTCCCAAAGTAAAATAATCTCCACTATTTGGGTGTTCGCCTCGAGTTTCATTTAATTTTCGTCCTCGCTCGCTTCACCATATTGTGTTATCTGAACAAACAAACTTCTTCAATTCAAATCGCATCTGTTCAACACAGTTTGTTGTGAAAGACGTGGTAGAGGCCAAGAAAAGCCTGTCGGCTGGAAGAATCAGTTTTATCCTTCTGGAAATTACCCAGGGATCAAGCCTTGAGTCAAGCACCTTTTAACTGAGGGATCGGAGGGAGAGATTTGAATAACTGGCTGCTGGATGGAAGGGATGGCGCGCACAGAGCGGTTTAAATAATTAGCATTAGAAACGTGGTGGACAGGGAGGAGGGGGAGATTTAAATACGACCGTGGAGTGAAGGGGAGATTTGAATGACGATGAGAGGATTGAGCAGATAAGACAGCAGCAGCGTGGCTTACACCGGGAAAAAAAACGACAGGCTTCCAAGATGCTCACTTTTCTTTTCCGGCCTGTGTTTTGCCCCATGATGGCGACTCATTGTTAAATTTCTGCAGTTTTTGCAAGGAAGGGTGGAAGGCCGAAAGGCAAACGAGCAAGTGACTGGATACGAAGTCAAGCAATAGGTTTGCCTCATCTTACTTGACAAGTCATATCTGTGCACGCCCGTGCTTCCAGACCTCCGAGTGGAAGGAATATTGTGGTCTGAGGGTTTCACCGGGGTCTTAAATTCACAGACATTGACTAACAACACAGTAACAATCCTTTCTGGTGACACAGTGTACATGTTAAGGCTCACTATTATGATTTCATGTTAATTTCTAGATAAACAGCTGCCATCTATTTGCCTTGGCTTGATCTGAATTCCTTTTGCGAGATCAGCGGCCCTCACGTTTGGATTACATGTCGTTTAATCTCCTAAAAGCAACGTGTGATCTAACCAGTGAGCGAGCTTCGTGAGGAAATGGTGGGAGGCAGGCATCAGAGATGCTGGCCATGTGCTTGGCGAAGGCTTGCACAACAGAATGTGGAAGAAATGCTTCCGCAGGGTGTTTACAGAGGAAGTTAGACGACCAAGATGACTTGGTGAACCTTTTAATGGCCGAGACAAGAGGTGAAAGTCGGACAAAACATCCCATCTTTCAGCAGCAAGCAGAAGTAAGATTCTGCGCGGCCCATTTGCTTTACTGTAATTGAGTTTCTGACCTGACCTCTCTGCCTCCTCCTGTGTTGCTTTGGAGCGATAAGACTAGGATGTGTGGGCCGTGCACTGTGCGTGTGTGTGTGCTGCAGATTACTGTATTAAGTTATCAGAATGCGATGGCCAAGAAAGGTTAGTGCTTGTGCTGCCACTGTTGCCAGGATTGTGGTGGGAAGAAATGCGGAGATAAATAGAGTTCTTGGAGACTAAAGAGAAGAAGAAATGTAAAGATGATGCACGCTTCAGGTCTGCGCAAGACAAAAAGCAAGTGTCACTCACACATATAATCGCGGTGCCTATGTTTGCCTTTATCTCCCGGAGGGCAGCGCGGTAAGGTCACGCTGGGATCTGACCTGTCCTCCAAAATAGACAACAGGTCGTTTGCTACACTCTGAAAGCAGATTTGCTGGTTGCATTGTCCTGTGGATTACACGAAAATCAATTTCCAGTCGAATTTTTGGATTTTGTGCAGATCTGGATGAAAGATCTCTGACTGCAAAGATGTTGCCCATACAACATCATGTTTGCAGAAAGCAACCAAAAGCTCAACTTTAGTTGAGACTAATTATTAGATTACATTGCCAGACTGAATTTTTTAATTATTTTTTGTGGCCCATCACCGTAATCAGTCATGAAAGCACAATGGAAACAATTAGTTGAGAAGTGGCAGAGAGATGTCCTGCGAGTCACTAGTGAATATGCTTGAGCAAGAATGGGGCCAGTAACTTTTTTGTTTTGGGGCACTTTGTTGAATTTGTTTAACATGACGTGTTCCGTCATTTTAAAAGCTGCAGTTGTGTCAGCTTTTTCAAAACCGGGATATGTCAGCACAGTACACCAATAGAATGTCACTTTTGTCTTTTGTGGCATCTAAAGAGCTGACTTTCATAAAGTGGTTTAGGTCTTTTTTTTTTCTAAATGTCACTTGGCATATGGTTTTGGTGTATTTTGTATTCATGATTCGTCATGCGTAATAATGACATACCATGTTTGTTTCTACACATGATTTGACTTTTTGTCACCCACGGAAACACATTGGATTTCTTTTTCAATTTCAGGTGTCCGTCTCTCGCCACAGAAATTTCATTTTGTCCACGAGACACAGGTTTCAGTTTTTCCCCCCCTGGTTGCTCAAATATTGTGGGTTTGTAACAGAATCCAAGAACTCAATATGAGCCAAAAATGCTATCCCTTTTTCCAATTTTGGAGAAGATTGTTTTTCCTCCTAGAATGAAAAGACAGACAAGAGTTTCAATTGGGCTGAACCTGATTTTGTTCAACAACTTCTAAGATATATGCCTTATCGTAAGCAATATGAGAATCTCGGGTTTAGGCGTGTCCAATTCAGCATCTCGTAAGATATTCCGTTTCTGACAAGAACAACTGGGCAGCTGCACACTTCACAAATGCTGGGAAGAGCAATAAACTCTATTGTTTGTGTTCAAATCATGAACAGACCGGGCGACCACAGAATAAATCTGTGCTTACCCTGGCGACGCCTTCAAAATACAACAAAAATACAATTTCTGGTGTGTGAGAACATGTCTGGCATGGGCTTTCTCCTTATTTGTGCTAAATGTCGAGAAGCACTACAAAACTCCGGTCCAGATTCTCAGTTTCAAATGAGATAATTTTTGGCCAGTGTTTTTTGCAGTAGTCGGACTCCTCCGGAACTCCATTGCCAAGTTATTAGACTACATTACAGAATTATGTGTTTGTTTTTTTTTTAAACAATTTATTCACCTGTAACTAATGAAAAGCATTTTCTTTAGTTGGATATACAATATTTTTTCAAAATGCCTCTCCAGGCAACCACCTTCATTCTAAGTCTGTAGATGAACATGGCAACCATGTTGAAGTAAAGGTCAACAGTACAAGGCCTTGTTTAGGCTTTGGAAAAGCAGATGTTATCCGAGCAGCACTTGGCCCTATCAGTAAAGCAACACAGCGATGTCATGGAAGCGCGTACTCCCATCTTTAAGTTGTCAGTTGCGACATGCCAAAATGACATTACTGTCATCTGTTGTGACTTTAGTTTCCTGTCAGATGTCATGGTCACCCAACACAGTGCTTAGCAACATTGAGAGCTGTTATGGGTCTGTTTTCAGCCCTTTTTTTCTTTTTTTTTGCCACCGCTGCGTTGTTTGCATTTGCAATTTTTTTTTTTGTTGCCCATCCCTTTTTCTTCCTTCCAGGTTCTCACCTCTCTGTAGCACATGCTTACTTAAAAGAACCGTTGCAGGAATTGGTCTGTGAACCAAAGGCCTGGCCTAGTTTGCATGCAGTCATCCAATTTCGGGGAACAGGAGAGGCAGAAAGGGAGGCGAGAGAGAGGCAAGTGGAGAGGGGACAAGGGGCTAATGGTTTAATGGGGCTCTCCTGTGAGCAAAGGAAAAACCAACATGCAGCACATAGTTGCACTTTAAAGTGTAGCAAACCCTTTGAATTCATTAACTTCCCAGCTCCTCAGTCACTCAGACTCCCGCCGCTTTGTCTGAATGGGTCACTTCACTGAGTCGAGGGAAGTGTGTCAAGTGCAGTACTATTTGTATGGGCGTCGTGCGTGTGTTTGGGTGTTCCGTTGATGTGGACGATGAATGATGAAGCATTTAAGGAGCACTGCTTTCGCCGAGATATCTCCGATGTTGGTTTCGTTTGTGTCGAAGGAGCAGATGGGCAAGAAATGAGAATGGATATGCATTTGGAATTTCCCCCATTGTCACACACGCACGCTCGGCCGTGCACGCAACTCTCAGCTCGTAGTGGGTGATCCATCATTACAAAGAGACACGTCAGATGTTGCGCTTGCGAAACAGATATGTCCTGATTATCAGGCTTTTAGAATTT